GAGGCTGGTGGGAAGAACTGAGAGTGGAGTGGGCGCGGGCGAGGGACGGGGCGCGGGCGAAGCGCGTTTCCCGTCGCAGCTCAGGGCGCCGCCGCCCGGCCGCGTGAGACCGGCCACGGAGCGGGACCATCTCCCCGCAGCCCGCGCTCCCCACGCCCTCCCGCCTTTGCGGTTCCATCCCGATCGGTGGCTTCTTTCTGAACGGCGTGGCTGACCCACTGAATGGCTGCGGGTCCCGGGCCGCGGCGACCCAGGTTGGCATCACCCTGGCTCAGTCTCGCGGGTGCCGCCCAGCATTTGCTTCACGAGAAACAGAACAGAAACGAGGGCGCATCTCCCAGACCTTCCTGTTTGTGCCTTTGCACCAGGGCACCCAGAACGTGTGAGAGCTGCGCGGTCCACGTGTGAGCCCCACCGGCTGAGGAGGCGTGGCCACAGGTCGGGGACCACTGGGGACGGCTGGGGGCCAAGCAGAGCCTCGCCTGGCCCGGGTGCGATTAACATCACACATCCCTTTATCTGCTGCCCTCTCCTTGCTTCTCTCGGGGTCTCAGCTCCGGGTGGTGCATAATTTCCTACACATGTAAACGCACAGTCTCATTTGATCAGATACTAAGCCACTGCCAAGGTGTTGCCAGTTAGCGGAGCCGAGTTTATCGTAGCTTGTCAGCCTCTGAAAGGGGGACGTTGGGGTGCTGTTCTGCAGGCCTGGCTGGGGCACAGCCAGGTATCTGCTTCGTCTTTCCTGGTGACGTTTCTCAGATGTTGACAGCCCCGTACTTCATCCAGGACACGAACGTGTTTTGTACATTTGTTTAGAATATACATGTTTTTCCTTTTGCAGCAAGATTTTTTCCAACCAGAATTGTTGTGTGTTGTGTTTATATAAAATACAGGTATCAAGAGTCACCCGAGTCCTTGGCAGCGCTGAGAGAGCTTTGCACCCTGCGGTAGTGAACGCCTGGGCTCCGCCTGCAGGTGCCAGCCGCAGCCAGCTCTTGACTGACTGCTCTGGTGCTTCACCAGGGGCACAATGAACCCCACAATGAAGCAGAAACGAGAAGGGACCCCAGGGCACGTGAAGGTATGTGATAGGGCCACTTTCCTCCGTGTGGAAAGCTTTTGTGTAGACGTGTTTTGACATAACTTAGCTAAATTTAGCCTGGCTGTCCTTTCTGTTACTGATTTTTTGGCCAGAGGAAAGGTAACAGTAGAGAACCATTAAATAGTTAATTATGGTTGAATATTAAGTTTTCTGATCCACGGACATGGGCTGTCTTCCCACTCATATAAGTCTTGAAGTTTTTTTTCAGCGATGCGTTGTAGTTTACTACCTTTGTGAATTTTTTCAAAATATTTTATTTTTTACGCCATTGCTCCTGTATAGAAACACATTTGGCTTTTGTATCTTGATCTTGAATCCTGCTACCTTGCTGAACTTGCTTATTAGTTCTAATAGTTTTCAGTGGATTCTGTAAACAACATTATTATTATCATTGTTTTCATTCGTTCATGGATTCTTTGCTAATTATATGCAAAATTTTATGTGTGCTTTTTTTTTTTTTTAAAAAGAGGATCACAGAATCTCAATTTTTTCCCTAAAAAGATTAAGACCCGTAATATATGAGAACCTTTTTGGCTGTAAGGAGTCTAGTATTCCAGTGCATAGTCTGTGTAAAGAAAACGATAATGGCAATATTACGTTTTGGGAGATAGATGCTATAAAGCTTACATTATAAAAGTTAAATCTTGGAAATGGTCCTTTTTTGTGACAGTAACTTAGCTGGCTTCTTTAGCCATTGTTAGTAGCAAGTACTTAAATGAACACCTATTATTGAAGGCTTCAAAGTTGTATTTGTTTATTTGTCTGGAGACTGTGGACTGACCTAGGTTACATCTGAAATGTTGGTGTGGTTTTGTTCTCACAGTAGCTGCCGCTTGTTTTCCAATTAAACAGTGAGATGATAGTCAGCTCGGGAAACTCGACCGTGGGAACGGTGAGCTCTTGTCCTGGCGTGCAGTGTGCAGTCAGCAGCTTTCCCACACTGCTCTGGTGTCATGTTCTCGCTGACCTTGTTTGAGCACCGCCATTGTTTGCTGTCCCATGGTGGCAGAATAATGATTTTTTGCAAAACTAGAGAGAGCTCTCAGATCAGGAAATATACAGGAAGGTATTTACATATTACAAGGAAGGCTATATTTTTTCCAAAACAATAGTTGGGGACTTTTACAGTATTTAGTGTCCCTCAAGCACTGACATTTCAGCTGCCTCCTAATGAATGGGCTTGAAGCAAACTGCTTGTATAGTCAGGTAAGGGGTCCCATTGCATGTATGTCAGTTTTATGTCAAGTATGTTCTTAAACTGTGTTCCTTTGGTGAACACATGGAAACGTGTTAGGGGATAGTCATGATTCAAAGGAAGTCTGAGACGAATCCTATTGATTAGGGGGAGAAGTATTTGGCAGTGGGAATAATTAACCTTCCCCCTCATTTACCTGTTTCCTGGGTTTCTGTCATAAGTGTATCAAGTTTGGGTGATATGATGCATTCTTAGAAATTCTTCAAACTGTATTATAATTTTAGAGAAATAAGTTCCTGGTTGGTTAAACCAGTGTCTTATTCATACATAGCATTATAAAATTATATAGCAGACCAAATTTAGGGTGGGGCAAAAAAGTAGATTTACAGTTGTTTGGAAAATAATACAGTAATTAATATGTAGTAATACTGGGATAAATTCTGTTTTGTATACTCACAACTGTAAATATTTTGCCCTTCCCTGTACTAGTGTTCTTGGTATTTTCCTTTTAAGTTATAGTAGGGCTAAGGCAATAACGATCCATATAGCATTCAGTAACCAGCTAATGGACTCTCTTGGCTTTTAGAACAGTCCTGTCCCAAGGAGAACCCTGAAGATGATCCAGCCTTCCACAGCTGGATCTCTGGTGGGGAGAGAAAATGAGGTAAGTATTATTGGGCTGGAATGGGCTAGAGAGGATACTGCCTTAGCATGGAAAACATTTGCCAGATTTCCTTGGGTAGAAGTACCTTAATCATTGAAATTTGGAAATAATTTAAGAATAACAATTGCGTATTCCCCACAGAAGTGATTTTTGTTTTAAGTATTCAATTGAGGAAGTTAGAAATTGGTGTGAGTAGAGTGCTGGTGTAAAACTGGTGGAACTGAAGTGATATAATACGTCATGAATTAACCTATAGGAGGGATGTTGGATGTTTTGAGGATCAAATGATAGATTCTTTCATTTACTTCTGTATGTAAATGGCAAAATCATGGGTGGAGGAGTCTAGACTTTTGCAGGTAGGAAGTATTGCCTTTGCATGGAATTATTTAAACAATAAAAATAATTTCAGTTAAGGCTTAGGCCCAAGTCTAATCCAAAATAGTTACAGCAAATAAAATTCCTAAAATATACCTATACATTTTGGTGAAGTTTTAAATTGGGTGATTTTTTTTTTTAAAGAAGATCCAAAGACAAAGATACAGACAGATGCGTGCTCCGTTTTTAATACATAAATGACAAAACCCCTGGGCTTTTTATAAATTTCTTAACAAATTTGCGTATTTTTAAAGTTTCTGCATATTTATGTTTTGGCTCTACATTGTCTTAGATTTTTTTCTTCTGATGTTCTTAATTTCTGCCTTCACCCAGTGGCTCCCCCTCCTCCTCTGTACTTTTCCCTCCTCCTCTGGCCTCTGACGGTGCATGTCTGGCCCTGGCGCTTCTTCTTCTAAACACACATCCTCAGAAGCTGTGCCTGCTCTGTCCCAAGTCCACTCAGCTTTCCTGTCCATTAGGGCAAAATGAGGCTGATGTATGCATTTCCATCGTAGCTGGTTAAGGGCTTGTCCAAACCGAAGCATTGGAATGACCAGCTAGCATCTAAGACTTCCAGCTCTGGAGTTACTGTTGTCCCGGAACACAGTGAAAATAAAGATCTTGGAGGAGTTACCCAAGAAGCATTTGACCTTATGATCGCAGGTATGAGAAAAGTATATATATATATATATATATAGCTTTTATCTTAGAAACTTTAATTGTAATAAAGGACAATATTTGTTATACTGTTATGAATTGTGCCCACAGCCTCTTAACCTGGGGTCACTATTAGACAGATTAAAACAATCGATCCATGTAACCTGAACACAGAGCTCTATACAGACTCTCAGTGGGACATATCAGAGTCCTTAAAATTTGGAAAATAAAATAGGAAAAATTGACTTTGTTTTCTAACTTCAGTTTTATAAAAATGGGCATTGCTAAGTAATATGGGTAGTACTAAGATTGTAAGTTGTATATTAAATAGATAAAACAGTTACTGAGTTTTTATAGCAGCATGTAATGGTGGTTTTCAGAGTTACATGTAAAACATTAATTTACTTTAGAAAATCCATCTTCTCAATATTGGAAAGAAGTGGCAGAAAAACGGAGGAAGGCTCTCTACGAAGCTCTGAAGGAAAATGAGAAAGTAAGTGCTGAGTAATTGGTGGCATTTTTTACATTTCAGTATTCCATTCGTGCCCTGGGGTGTGGCTCGGGGCCGAGCATTGTCTGGTGCAGCAAGAGGTCACCGGTTCCATTCCCAGTGACGCTCAAACCCCAGGAGGGGGCGTGCAAGAGGCAGCTGGCTGATGTTTCTCTCTCTCCCTCTTCCTCCCCCCTCTCTAAAATCAATAAAAACATAGTCTTAAAAAATATATATTCCATCCACTGCTTAGCATATTTGGTTAGAGGAATATAAACTAGCTTTAATTTTGGCCTAAGAAAAGTTTAATTAGGTGACTGTTACCAAAATTATTATACAAAAAGCAGCCTATGGTGTTGAGAGCCAAAGACAGCCCCTCTGTTAGGAACTTCGTACCACACGTGTCTGTCAGTTACGTTCTGGGAGGCACGTAGTTGGTTTGTGGTGTGAAAATCTGCAGAACACTGACCTTGATTGATGTCGCATAGCTGCATAAGGAAATCGAACAGAGGGACAGCGAGATTGCCCGCCTGCAAAAGGAGAATCAGGAGCTGGCGCAGGTAGCAGAGCACGTGCAGCACATGGCAGAGCTCCTAGAGGTGAGTGTTCACACCTGACCTGGGTCGTCCCCGTTCTGCAAGCCCGAGCCAGTGAGCGTGGTGAGGACATGCTGGGCTCTGGGCTTGGACTCCTGAGAGTAAGTCTTAGCTCCCTGCCCGGCACCATGGAGTTTGTTGAGTTAAGCAGGTAATTCATCCTGTGGAGGGGCTTCGTTTTCCTCACGACTGCTACTTTACCAGTCTTGGCCTAAAAAATAAGTCTTGGGCTTATTCGTGTTTGCAAAAAATCATCTTGTTGATGGGATGAGAGATTTTCAAATAAAACCTTTTTTGTACTGAATTGCTTACATTTTCCTGCCGTGACACACTTTAATGTTTGAGGTTTCCATTTGGAAATCCTGTAATAGCCGCTGTAACCGCCTGAGAGCGTTGTTCACAGCACTAACTCAGTGGAGCCTCTGACAGACACTGGGTTGTATGTGAATGTAACTGAGAGACATGAAAACCTCATTATAACATTGAGGGCCAGTTATTAGCATTCAGGTAATGGACTTGGGTTTTAAAGTTTTTACAATAAACTCTTGGTTTGTTTTTTAAAAGAGACTGAAAGGAGAGCCTCTGGATAACTTTGAATCGCTGGATAGTCAGGAATCTGAGTCTGAAGAGGAAGCTGGCGAGGGTTCTGCAGGGGAGGACTCAGACCCCTGCGCGGGCACTGGGGAAGCCGAGCCCTGCGCATGAGCTGCCGGAGGACTTGACTGAGAAAGTGCCAGCACAGCCACCTCCACTCTAGTTCTTGGTGGCAGAGCAGGTTACTGTGTCATGCAGACCTGAAATCAGGCTTCCTTGTTTGGATCCGGGGACCCTATTGTATTAAAATACAAATACTGTGTATTTTTAATCTATAGTGTTTTATGTAAATAGCATTTTCTCATGTCAGACACGACCTGTTTATATGATAAATAAACTTCAGTCTCCTGTTAAACAATGTGTTTCTTAGAAGAATGAAGTCTAAGGAGTAAAATTTGTCTATTTCTATGGTTTTATGTTTTCTTTCTATTCCTCTGTTATTTTGGAAAATATGAAGAAAAAATGAGCTTGTCCCTCTTTAGGCTGAAGTTTTACTCCCAAAGCTGGTTGTACCTCAAGCTCATTGCGGGGACTGGATTTCCAAGCCCCACGAGCAGACACTGTTCCGGAGGAGCTCTGGTAAAGGTGTGAGCACGTGTTCTCAGGACCTCTCACGTACCTCTGGTCAGCCAAGTAAAAGCTCGACTGCTGGTACAATCAGACTCCTTGGACGCTTAAAACATTGAGTGGAGGTGATGACGGGGCAGGTGTGCGTCCCGTGATGAGACAGGAATAGCTAAGGGTCTGGAACTACTCCCCTTTGTCACGTTAGATACAGTACAGAGCACACGCACAAAGGCTTGTAAAGGTTCTTCACAGAAGGAACTCTTATGACTCAGTAAGCAAAGAACCTAATTTTCAACATTGGGGAAAGGTTTGGACACTTCCCCAAAGAATATACACAGGTAGCAACTGAGCAAGTGAAAAGGTGTCAACGTCGGGTCATCAGGAAAGCGCACTCTGAGCCTGAGTGAGATGCTGCTGTGGACCTGTCAGAATGACTCAGGTTTGAGAAACAGCCACAGCAAGCGTCAGTGATGCCGAGCCATGGGGAGTCCAGCCGTGCTGGCCGCAGTAATAACCACAGGGGCTGTGGAAACTTCAGCAGTCCCTTAACAGTTAGGCCTGCAGCAGCTGGAGTGCCCATCGGCCCGTGAGCGGGCAAAGAAACGGACGAGCCCATTCGGTGGAACACAGTTCAGCAGCAGGAAAGGAACAAACGGTGACCAGGACGCAGGAGGGTCTCCGTGAAGTTAGAACCTCCCTGTGCTTCCGTTGAAGTAAAACGAAAACTTTGAACTAGTTGGGGAAAGCAGGGTAGTTGCCTGGGGTCTTGGGGTTGGGGGGGGTGTTGGGGATGAATTTTGAGAGGAAGCTTAGGGTGGATGTTAAACTGACCAGAACTGATCAAGAGAACTTGGAAGAATTTCCTTTAGATGATGACTCTGATTTTCAGTTAGATGTCAGATGTCAGAACAAATGCCGGTCTGGTGCGCAGCAGGCTCACATTCTGGTAGCCAGGAAACAACCTCAGCCCAAAACACAGCTGCTGGAGGCTGACACTGAGACAGGGCTGACGGGGCATGGGTGGGGCACCTGTGCCCAGGGCCGTGGGGGCAGTGGGTTGGGTTAGGATTTGACGTTTCTGGGTGCCTTGGCTTAACATCATCTAATACCCCACAAATCCTACCGATGCCCCTCACATCTTCCCGTGAGTTCCCATTTTATGACCTTAATCTTCATGAGGTCATTTTTTTTTAAAGTATGTTTATCAAATTTTTTTTTTTAATCTTCACTGATTTCAGAGAGAGGAAAGGAGAGGGAGAGAGAGAGATAGAAACATCAATGATGAGAGAGCCATTGATCGGCCGCCTCCTGCACGACTGGGGATTGAGCCCGCAACCCGGGCATGTGCCCCGACCGGGAACGGAACCAGTGACCTCTCGGTGCATGGACAACGCTCGACCAACCGAGCCGCACTGGCCAGGCCATGAGGTCATTTTTAAACAGCAGAGCTTTCCATAAGTTTGGTTCTTGCAGTAACTGCAAACTTACAGGGGAGTTTTCAACGACTTAGAAGCAAACACTGGAGAAAACTATTGGCTTTGACAATTTATTCCCATTTTCCAGGGCCCTCCCACGGTGCAGGCGGCTGGGAACTGCCCTAGAGGAGCTAGTGCCTGTGGAAACCGATCAGGAAATACACCACCTCCGCGAAGTTCTCGGGCCACCCTACCCAGTTCTCGCTGGCCAGCACCTGCAGGTGGCACTTCAGGCTCTGCTGGTCCTTCAGCTCCTCCATGAAGGACAGGTTGTTGCAGATCATGACAGAGAGGACGTAGCACGTCCAGAACTTCACCAGGAGGTTGCTGCTGATCGCAGTCTTGCTGCCCGACTCGGGCAGGCTCTCCAAGAGCGCGGTGAGGACCGGGACAAACTGCAGAAACTTGGCTCTCTTCTGGGCGACGGGGTTTAGGTAGCACCAGCAGGCCACGCTCTGGAGCAGCAGGATTCTTGTCTTCGGCTCCATCTTTGGCTGTTGCAGCAAGAGAGCCACTTCTTTCATGTGCTTGGCTGCAAACTTCCCGGCCGTTGGGCCTCCTGTAAGACAAGCATTCGCATTTCCACAAGTATCTGGTGCAGCTAGTGGCGGTGATGGGCGAGCTCAGGGTCTCTATTCTTTTTTTCGGGGGGTTAATCTTCACCTGAGGATATTTTTTTTCCCATTGATTTTTAGAGAGAGTGGAAGAGAGAGAGAGAGACATTGATGTGCGAGAGACACATCGGTTGGTTGCCCGCTGCACGCATCCTGACCGGGGCTGGGGATAGAGCCTGTAACAGGTACGTGCCCTTGGCCAGGAATCGAACCCGCAACCCTTCAGTCCAAGGGCTGATGCCCTAACCACTGAGACAAGCCGTCTAGGGCAACAAGCCGGCCTGTTGCCACACACGGACGCCTGGGTACTGGGGAACGTGTGTGTTGACAGAGTGAAATGAGAAGCTCCGGGAGGTCCCTGCCTGCCGAGGTCCCTTTCACCAGGCCCCAGGAGGCCTGCGTTCACCTAGCGAATCTCCCTCGTGGTCTCACTCCTGATTCTCCAGGAAATACCAGAGCGTTAGAGCGACCGAGAGAAACCCCAAAGGCTGAGCGGCCAAGCGGGTCTGACGGTTGGAGGGGTTTCTCACGATGGGCCCCTGGCTCGGCCCTTCTCTGCCGTCTCGTCCCCTTCGCAGCCCAGCTCTCGCAGGCCTGGGACCCGCGTGACCGGACACTCTCGTCCTTGCTCTGCTCACTGACCCCACCTCGCCCTGGACTCCACTTTGATCCTGGACCTGACCCCCAGATCTTCCCAGTTCCAATCTCAAACTCCAAGGAGGCAGGAGCCCCGGAGGCACCGGCGGAGACTTAGCCGGTGAGGAGTGGCTGGCGTCGGCCGGACCCCAGCCCTGGGGTTCCCACCTGGCCTGCGTTTCTCTTACATCCCAAGGACATTCCCATCAACAGCAAAGTCCTAGCTGAAGCCTGGGCATAAGCTTTGCCTTGCTCCCCGCCAGTACAGCCAGGGCCAAGCACCATCACGGTCAAGGGCCTGAGCCTTTTGTAAACAGCTCTTCCCCCAAATGGGGACACAGCTGTGAGGGGTGTGGCGGGTGCCATTCACCTCCCTGCGCACGCGAGTCTGCGTTTCCCGTCTCCTCCCCAACTCTGTGGCTCTCACCCTCCGGCACTAGGCACCCTTGGTCCTTGGGAAGAGTAAATTTTTCTCTCAGGGACACCATTCTTTGAAAGATTCAGTTATCAAACTACGTCTAAGTAACTAGTCTTCCGATAAAAAATAAAAAAAAAAATCCATTGACAGCTACCAGCCAGAGCTTCTAATTAGGAGACGCGTGGTTGAGCACAATCAATAAAATTTCATAGCATATCCTGAGGTCAGGGAAAGAAAAGGAGAGCGTTTGGACGTGAGAATCGCTAGGCTGCTGTGTGTTTAAATGGTTTGCCGATGCCTGGCCGGTGTGGCTCAGTGGCTGAGCGTGGACCCAGGACCCGAGAGGTCGCCAACGGGATTCCCGGTCAGGGCACGCGCCCAGGCTGCAGGCTCCGTCCCCAGGCGGGGGCCTGCAGATGGGTGACGTTTCTCTCTCATCGATGTTTCTAGCTCTCTCCCTCTCCCTGCCTCTCTCTCTAAAAATCAATAAAAACATTTAAAAAATAAAAATACATGGTTTACCACAGTAGACGTCAATCGCTGCTTTTCACCGCTGCAGCAGCTGGCTTCCCTGGTGGGTGTTTTAAGAACGTGAAGTTCTTTTATTTTTCTAGGCTGTTTTCTGGGCACTGCCTTTTTACAAGACAAAAAAATGAAGTAGCTGGATTCACGAGGTTGTAACGACACCACTCGGTGTAGATGCTTTGATATTTTAAATGACAATGAGAACTTTGATAGGCAATTTTAGTATATGTATTTTTCATTAATAAAAGCGGGAGAACACTTAATTAGTAATTTGTTGGACACTTTTTTTTAAAAAGGGCCTTAAGGAGAAAATAATTAGAAATACCTTTTGCGGTACAAAGAAAACAGACACACTAATAATTTAGGCAAAGGAAGTGCGGCCGGGGTTTTAAGCCGAGGGCGGTGAAGATGGCTGGCGCCTCGGGGCGGGTACCTGTGAAGGCCAGCATGCCCATCCGGTAGGCAGCCTGAGCCCGCTCCTCGACGGCCAGAGACTGGTTCTTCAGCTTCTGGCCAAGCACCTCAATTTTCTCTTTGTGGAAAATACACTCGGCTGAAGGGATGTGTTCTTGCTCTTTCTTGCTCCGGAAAAAGCCCACGACGTGGACGCTCCAGAAGCGCTGCAGGCTCTGATACAGCCTCACGAGATACGCGCACACCCGGGCCCCAAGCCGCGCGGCCGAAACGCGGGCCTTGTCCATCCGGCGAGCGGGGCAGCGGGGCTCCGTCCCACCGCTCGCGGGGTGACAGCGGTCAAGAGCTCCGGAACGCATCACCTAGCAACCCAGTCGTGCGGACGACACAGGCCGGGTGGGCAGCGAGTGCCGCCGGGTCTGGGCTGCGAACCGACGGAGGACCACGCTTTCACCCTTGAGGAGCTCAGTGGGTTTTTTTTCTCCGAGAATAGTCCTCTCCCCACTTACGGATGAAGGAACCTCGAGATGAGAAGTTCAAGGGGAGACGGGGGCGTTGCGTGTATGCGCCCGCTCACGAGAGCAGGTGAAAAGATACGGCGGACGCTGTGCCCGAGACAGAAATTCAAAAATAATTTTTATTTGAACATACAGGATCGAAACGGTGACGGGTACAAATGCCGCAAAACTCAGAGCCACCCCCTCAACCAAAAAATAAAAGGCAGATGTGAATACAGAAGACGCGGAGCCAAGTACTCATGCAATATTCAAAAAATTTTTAAAAAACACACAAACCAAACAAAAAACTCTGTAATGCTTGCGATCTGACTTCCTATAAACAGGATCATCTCAACCACTTCACGTGGACTAAGACCATACGCACTAACTGGAGGCTGTACAATGGACTTTGAAAACAAGGATCTGTGCACATATATTTATAAATATACAAATATACACATACGCTGTAACTTCCCAGCCAGAAGGACCATCTGCTGGGAAGCCCGGCACACGACGTTTAAAGTGAAATAAGCGTGACTTTTAAAGGTCCGGCTAAATGTAAATATTTTAAAAGGACACCTCACTGGTATTTTATTCAAACACATGGGGAGCACAGTTCAAGTCACACTCACACGTGTTTTGATATCTTGGCATATCCCACCTCACATACTCTTAAGAGGAAGAAGTTTATTTAACAGGAGCTCCTGAGGGGTCCTCGACTTCATTTAATGGGCTTGCTACCCGGGGGGAGCAGGAAGGGCGGCTGCTGTTCTATTTGGCCAAGGGGTCCCAGCAGCGGGCGGTCAGCACCCGCGGGGCAGCCGTCTTCCCCCCCTCGTGGGAATTCTCACAGACGCGAGGACCCCGTTTCATGTCCCTCCAGCTACGCGTTCCTGCACCTCAGGGAGCATCCCGGCTTTTCTGAATCCGTGACTTTTGGTTTTGATTTGTCTTAGCAGCAAAGTACCTCTATTGAAAAATATCATAAAAAAATGGCTCTTGTTTTTTTTTTAAAAAATAACAGCTCACGCTTTGCGTGTCTGTTTTTAACGAGCGTGGGTGTGGTCTTTCTAGGGTGGCCCGTGGCCCTCTACCTGCCTTCTGGCCACGATGGGAACATGCTTTTGGAATTTTCAGGATGAAGAAACAGGAGAAACCGTGGGCACTGGGGATAATGACATTTAAAAACACTGAACTGTTAGGACGTGTCGTTCTACCAGGTTCTGCAGGCAAACTTTTATTCGAAGGAATTCTGTGTGTGTGCTTTTCATTTAAGGTAAAATTAGGTAGCT